TGCTTGAAAAAAATAAACAGATAAAACTGCTGGTATAGTTTTAAATATAATGYAGGAAAAAAACCCTACACAAATACTATCTGCAAAAGTACTATACAAAAAAACCCACTGTTCTAACATACACAAAATCGTCCATACACAAGAATGAAGGATATTATCTCTCTCCTAAGAAGGTCCTGATAAAAAACRGTAGCCTTGAAAATACATAATGACTGAATAGAAACCCAGTCTTGTATTTTTCCACACTAGGCCAGTCTTAGATTTACATAATATAATTCACCAGATTTCACTTAACACACTTTGCTCTTTTAGTGTAAGTCAGGATAGGACAAAAAAACAATCCTTGAAACATGATCCCTGTATCTCCACCCATATTGTGTCTCTAACCCACTGGGATGGAGGCTGGGATGTAACTGTAGAGGTCCTCTAGTCATCTAATGCAGGGTAGAAGTTTACCTGACATTCAGGAAGGAATCAAGTTAACCCTGAGTGAATGAGCTACTGCCTTCCAATTGCTTGTGATAAATGACCATGTATGTACTCCCAAYTCACAGCAAACTCAAGTGAAATACAGCAAAAACAACTTTGCTAAAAAAGGTGTAAACAATTACTTTTTGAAACGTGTCCGTTAGATTTTTTTTTTCTGACAAAATCTGTCAGAAGAAAAAACCATTTCTTCAGACTYTGATAAAATGATTTCACGTCCTCCCCTGGCACCTGCTCCACTGCTTAACTATCCCTACAAGTACAAGACTGCTGCAACACCCCACCTTAAATCCCTGTTGATGCAACTAAAGCTTGCATATTCTCCTGCTTGAAAAGGGCCTGTGTGAGGAGTAGCTGGCTGTTACACTCTGGTCCCCGCAGTTCATGTTTCTTAAGCCTCTTAGTATTCCTGATGCCGCCTTATTGTGGATTGCAAACAGCCTGCCAAAACCAGCGGGACACATGAGCCCCGTGCACATCTAGTCAAGGCAAGTACAGCAGGACAAGTAACACTGCTTAACACAGACATGAGCTTCGTTCTCTTTTTGTAARTCACAACACTGCCAAAAACATCCTAATTTGTGCGTTTGTTTTGCCATCACTTATCTCCAGCTTCATATTCGAAATTTTGCTCCCCCCCAACCATTCTGCCTTGTTTACTGAGTCTCACTATTGAGTTCTGGCCACCCTGGCCACTTTTTAAGAACAATTTTAATCCCACATATATTCTTCAAAGTCTTTTGGTGTCACACAAGAATTTAAAGAATATTCTCTGTTCCATCAGTTAATGAACAGTAAGGGAGCTGGGACAAAAAGCTGTTTGAAGGATTCTGCTYGATATATCCTCCCACTAAAACAGAAAAAATAAAATTACCCTTAGGAGAATGTTTTGAATCCACTATGCTTCCATCTTATGTTGGTATCATCGCAATTGCATCCACTTAGTTTATTTACCAGACTGTTGCATTGAAAGCCTCACTGAAAGGTAATCACACATACCTCTTCTGCTGCCTGTTTTAATGCCTCTTTTACTCCTCCTTCTCTGCATGGAGTTATCCTCCAAGAAACGGTATAGAGGATAAATGCAGAAATGGTTTACATATATCGAGGTGAAAATACTGACTCTTCAACCTTGATTTTTCATGTTGTCTCTAACTTCCTTATGATGCTTTGCAAAGCCTGTTCTTTGAGTGCAGTCACTGCAGTTTGCTCTTGGACCATTTCTATTTTGGAACAAAATCCGGAAAAAATGAGAAAATTCTGTCTTGGAAAAGCCTATTCCAAGGCTTTGGAATCTATGGAAACGGATTCAAGAAAGATTTGCACGAATCCAAAAATCATTGTGATGAGAACAGGGACTCACAAAAAGCACTCAGCATTAACATTATTAGATTCTGATGAGGAGGATAAAAATAAAGCAGCAAATTCTGCTTTTATTTGCATTCATTACTCGGCTGACTCTGGACTACTCGTTTCCTTCCAAATGGAAGGAAAAAGGCAGCTGTGTAATTCCATGGATGCTCCTCGAGAGCCACAAAATGTAAGTAACAGACACCTAAGGGTAAGCAGGAACAAGAAACACACCTCGAGTTGTACCCCTGTAATTCACTGTACGTTTGCAGCTGCATCGTTCCAGATGTGGTCCTGCTGTGCTCTGCAGCTGCAGCAAAGCCCCAGAGCATGCCAGAGTGCGGGCCCCTCTGCCCCAAAGGCTGCCCCACGTCAGAACCATCACAGCAGCAATGCCCAGCACTGCCCCTCGCCCTCCACCACCACCTCTCCACCTGCTCCCTGGCCACACAGGACCTCGGGCAAGGACAACTAAGCTCTGGGCAGCTATATCCACATTGGCAGGTGCTGCCTCCTCTGACAGGAGTGGATTTGTGAAGTACAGCAGTTTGCGCTGACAGTTTGGGAAGTTTGGCACWGGGCTGGACCTAGTCTGATTCCACGGTCTGAATGCTCATTAGCAGCTAAGTGCACTAGTGTGCTCCTGGTACAGCTCCTGGTTTAGGTTCACTTAAAAGGAAATCAGTTTCTGTGCTCCAGAATCCCAGTATGGCAGAGGTTGGAAGGGACCTCTAGGGATCATCTAGTCCAACCCCCTGCTCCAGCAGGGACACCYAGAGCACGGGGCACAGGGCGGCATCCTGAAGATCTCCAGAGAAAGAGAGTTCATAGTCTCCCTGAGCAGCCTGTGCCAGGGCTCTGTCACCCTCACAAGAAAGAAGTTCTTCCTCACATGGAGATAGAACTGCCTGCGTTACGACTTGTACCCATTGCCCCTTGACCARCTGCAGAGGATTGGGAGATTTGCCTAAAATGCACTTTCCGAATCTGGACTAAAACACTTACATCCATCCAATGGTGGTGACATATTGAACTCCTTGCACTCCTAAGGTCAGCTCTTCTCACATAATTAAGCCATGAAAATTGGCAATATGTGAAATTCATTACACAAATAATTCTTTTAAGCAGTATTAAAATCAGCTCCCAGTTATCTACACATACATTGTGCAAAGTGAGAATTATCCCAAGCCATTGATACCAGTACAAATGTAATATTGCATGATGGTGCTTGCCTCTCTCCAGTTTCCCAAGCACTGGAAGTACTCCATACCTGAAAGCAACACACTGCTTTAACTCGGGCTGGACCGTGTGCTAATAAATCCTTCCAGAGCCAACCTGCTTGTCCCTGCCCTGAGCTAGCACCACAGGGGAACAAGCCACAGAGACCTGCAGGTGACTGTGAACAGAGGCAGCACAGGGTGAYACACAGGGCACATCTCAGATGAGAAGAGCAAAGGTGCGGATGTGGCCACAACCCCCAGCACGGGCGGTGACGTCAGGAGGAGATGTGACAGCGATAGGTGTCTCCTGGCCACACTCCCCCTGCATTTTTGGAGGGTTTTAACACCCCGTAAGCAGCACTCAGGAACGTGCAGGCCAGGTAGAGCAGCCCAGTCCTGCCTTGTCCCCCAGGACCAGGAACACTGGGAGATGGTGCAGACACCTCACCCATGTGGCTGCAATGTCCTCACACAGCTGCGGTGCTCTGGGTGTAGCCAGCTTGATTTACGTAGATATTTTTATTTTCCAGGATGTCTCAGGGCCCAGTCATCTTAGATAACAGAGCTGACTCTTTGATTTCACCTTTCTAAAGCCTGTATTTATCACAGTTTTCCAGAACATGGTTTAATAGTTACTTCTCAAGTGTGCTGGCTGGTTCCTTTGCTTACCAGAAGTGTCTATTTTCTAGGCTTTGTAATGCTACAGAGAGARAAAAAAAAAAGTAATTTTAACATACTAACGATTCAGTCTTTAATTCAGCAGTACTGTACAATCACCACAGTATTGTTTCAACAAGATGTTATTACAGTTTTCTCCCCTACCTGCATTCGCTTGCAGCCACTTTAATTGGGAGTGATAAGGAAGGGTGTAATGCAAATTCCTTGTATTTGCACTACAAACTACACCAATCTGGGAAACTCGCTTCAGTTTCGGCCCGCGCTGAGGCCGAGCGGCAGCTCCTCATCCCCGCTCTGCCGAGGAGCGCGGTGCCCTGGCAGCCTGCAGCGCCTGCAACCCGTGCACACCAGCTCCCACGCTCCGGAGGCGGCTCCGCGCAGCTCCACCTTCACACGGCCTTGGGAGGCTCCGGGCTTGTCCACGGCGGGTTCCTCCTCATGAACGGGCAGATGGGATACGGCGGGAAGCTGCCGCTCTGTGACACTCGGTGTGATGGGACCTGGGGRCACCTGCACATCCCGTGCCCGTCCCGGGCAGCCGTGGCAGCCCCGGATGCGACGCACGAGCCCGGGAGCCTCCCCAGCCCTTGCACCCGGCTGCACCCCACTGCCGGCAACCAAAATATTCCGCGACCCACCCATGCCCTGGAGCTCTGCGGCCTGCTCTTTGCAAACACGAGGCTCGCCATGAATTATTTAAAAACAAGCTTTTTTTTTTTTCCCCCTGTTTTTCTTGTTTACTTTCCAAAGCCAAAGCATTTTTGCATGTGTAGGAGCAAACAAGCAGCAGCAYGGCACGCTTTCTCACAGAAACTCTCATTTTTAATTATTCAAAGCCTATTTTTCCTTTAAAACACACACCACTTTTAGCATTTTGGATGGGTGCTCCGCACGGGGCTCTCCTGATGCCACCCCATTCCCCAGGCCAGGCACTYGGAGCATCCCGAGCCTGTCCGACCCTTCACTCGCGCGCTTGGATTCAGCTTCCCTTCCAAATAACTTTACCCCACGAGGCGCTAAATCTGAAGAAGCTCCTTAAATAAAAACGGCGGAATGACACCCCCCCCTTAACAAGAAAGAAAGAAAAAAAAAAGGAAAAGGGAAAAAAGGAAAGGGAGGGTTTGGGCACTTGGCTGTAGCAGCCATGAGGAAAACGGTTGCAGAGCTGCAGCCCTTGGGGGCAGCCCCCATGGGTCACGCGCGTCCTCACCGTCCCCCCGCGCCCGCGGAGCCCCGCGGTGCCCGCGGAGCCCGCGGCGCCGGTACCTTGTAGTGGCGGAATCCGCGCAGCTGCTGGGCAGTGACATAGCGCGCCCGCCACATGGCGCCGCGCTGCCCGCGCCGC